GCTTCTTCTTCTGCGGTTTTTGGCGTTGGCTCGCGACAGAAGGAAGAAGAAGGTATCGCATGTCTCTACTTCAGATTAGCACAACCTTTTTTGTTCTTCTTCAGGCTTCCTCGAGATAGAGGAAGAGAAGTGAAAACAGTAGTTCCTTGCAGCAGAAGGGAAAAGAAAGAAGAAGATTGTTCTCTCTTGGCTTTTTCTTAGTGGCAGAAGAGAAATTGAGTTTATTTATCTTGTAAGTTTATCTTCTTCAGTGTATCTCGGTGTAGAAAGAGAAGAAGAAAGAGCAACGAAGTTAGAGATTCCTTTAATAAGTCGAGACGATCGACTGGTGTAAATTCCTCAAGTAGTAAAATCATCTGCAATTCCGTGGATGCAGGCAATTTGTCGAACCACATAAATCCGTGTGTTCCGCTATGTTACTGTTTTTTGGTGTGAATTTTCTTGTTCTATTTTTCGCTTCGTGTCGATCGTTCTTTTATTTTATATATATATCGATCGTTCTTTTATTATATATATATATATTATATATATCACAACAGTTAATACGTAAACATCAATAAAATATAAATAAGCAGATATAAGTTCAAGATCTAATTCATAAGAAAGTCAAATTTTAACAACAAACTCCAAGACTATGCGAGAAGCAGATGGTTCTAGGGATTCTAGCAAGCAAAGTAAACACAAACATACTAAAATGTAAAGAAAATATTTTAGGTTGCCTCCCCATAAGCCCTTAATTTAACATTTTCAGGCTGACTCAAACACACACCGATCATAAAATAAGCAAACATACAATAAAATTACAAGATGGCATTTGGGCTACCACTCAAGTAACGCTTGGTTTTATGTCTTTAGTGAAACAAGGTCAAATCTAGTCTTAAGAGTTTTCTCCATGATCAATTATCTAGTTTAATAATCTTTGATCTATCACTAATGTTTTAAATAGCCTGGAGATTCTCCCGTCGCATTTAGTTGTGATCTCATATTTTCCTCTTTTTGAAATATTATTTTTTTTTTCAAATTCTCATTTAAAATATTTTACAATCTTTCTATTTTCAATCTCAAAAATTGGTCAGAAATATAAATAGGGGGTGGTATAAGATCATGAATATGTAATATCATTTCCTTATTTTATGCTCTACTAGTTAATTCATATTTTTATAAATTAATGTTCATCTTACTAGTTGCAAAATAAGGTAGATTGAAAATAATTGCGATCTCTACATCATCTTTCATATCAAACAAAATAAAACCAATCGGAATGTTAACAACATTCTGCTGTTAGGCTGTCGAATATCGATAATCGGCGAATATTGATTTGAATTTTGACTCTAATCTTGTTTGCCAATATAATTAAACCAACCCTTTCACAAGTAAATTTCTTTAACATTTTTTTTCCCAGTGTAAGGCCACCAAACTGAAGTTGTGCACAGCTTCATTTAGTCTTCTGGTGTGAATACAATGCTTTGAGTTGCACAATTAGAGGATAACAAGTTTGAAGAAAAGTGTGACGCTGTCAGTGGAGGATATCAGTTCGAGGAAGAAGACGTTGTAGCATGTGTATCGGTCTCCAAATGGGAGATATGTTAGCTGGAGCCCGATTTCGCTCCTGCTCCCGATCGCGAAACATCGTGACCCTAGGTCTCGCTCCCACCTCTTCCTCTGTCCCGAACTGTTCCCACCTTCTCTGTTTTTTGTAGCAAGCATTCCTTCGCTCGTTCGCGAACAGGCAGCAGTTCCGCACGGGGCGTGTGGTTCGAGCGAGAGGAGTATCGCTCTCCAAGGCTTCTTCTTCTGCGGTTTTTGGCGTTGGCTCGCGACAGAAGGAAGAAGAAGGTATCGCATGTCTCTACTTCAGATTAGCACAACCTTTTTTGTTCTTCTTCGCATGTCTCTACTTCAGATTAGCACAACCTTTTTTGTTCTTCTTCAGGCTTCCTCGAGATAGAGGAAGAGAAGTGAAAACAATAGTTCCTTGCAGCAGAAGGGAAAAGAAAGAAGAAGATTGTTCTCTCTTGGCTTTTTCTTAGTGGCAGAAGAGAAATTGAGTTTATTTATCTTGTAAGTTTATCTTCTTCAGTGTATCTCGGTGTAGAAAGAGAAGAAGAAAGAGCAACGAAGTTAGAGATTCCTTTAATAAGTCGAGACGATCGACTGGTGTAAATTCCTCAAGTAGTAAAATCATCTGCAATTCCGTGGATGCAGGCAATTTGTCGAACCACAAAGACTATGCGAGAAGCAGCTGGTTCTAGGGATTCTAGCGAGCAAAGTATACACAAACATACTAAAATGTAAAGAAAATATTTTAGGTTGCCTCCCCATAAGCCCTTAATTTAACATTTTCAGGCTGACTCAAACACACACCGATCATAAAATAAGCAAACATACAATTAAATTACAAGATGGCATTTGGGCTACCACTCAAGTAACGCTTGGTTTTATGTCTTTAGCGAAACAAGGTCAAATCTAGTCTTAAGAGTTTTCTCCACGATCAATTATCTAGTTTAGTAATCTTTGATCTATCACTAATGTTTTAAATAGCCTGGAGATTCTCCCGTCGCATTTAGTTGTGATCTCATATTTTCCTCTTTTTGAAATATTATTTTTTTTTTCAAATTCTCATTTAAAATATTTTACAATCTTTCTATTTTCAATCTCAAAAATTGGTCAGAAATATAAATAGGGGGTGGTATAAGATCATGAATATGTAATATCATTTCCTTATTTTATGCTCTACTAGTTAATTCATATTTTTATAAATTAATGTTCATCTTACTAGTTGCAAAATAAGGTAGATTGAAAATAATTGGGATCTCTACATCATCTTTCATATCAAACAAAATAAAACCAATCGGAATGTTAACAACATTCTGCTGTTAGGCTGTCGAATATCGATAATCGGCGAATATTGATTTGAATTTTGACTCTAATCTTGTTTGCCAATATAATTAAACCAACCCTTTCACAAGTAAATTTCTTTAACATTTTTTTTCCCAGTGTAAGGCCACCAATCCACCTAAGTATTCTCATCTCAACAACTCTTACTAGATTACTTGCACATCTCTATACATATTTTGAGATGGAAAAAACTTCATATGAATTGAGAGTATTCACTTCATCATCCAATGAAAAATATAATTTTCATTGTCAAAATGGAACTTCACTTCGAACATTATGTTCAAGACAATGATATATGTAAATGTTATATAATGTAACAATTTCTGACTCATAACAATTACATCATTGTGTAAATTTCTGCAATATAACAATTTTTGACTCGCAACAATATCTTGAACATAATGTTCGAAATGAATTTTCATTTTGGCAATGAAAATTATCTTTTTCATTGGAGGATGAAGTGAACCTCTTACATCATACAAAATATTTCATTCTTATTCATATTTTATTATGTTTCGTTGTTTATTGAAACAAGGTTCAACCGATTAATGATTTTCGACATCCCTCACATCATTAGGATATTAAACTTTTCGATTTCGAGCCGAGCTGGGGTCGGCTCGATAGAAATTCGATTTAAAATTTTGGCTTATAGCTCGACTCGTTTATTTCGATCCGAGCTTGATGTATGATCCAAAATTCAAATTAATTTTCGAGCAATCATCATTGTTCGAGCTAAATTCACAGCTCTACCCTACGTACCACCTAATTTCTACATACCACAAAAAAATTAAACCAAATTTGAATTTAGGGCCTACTTGGCAATGAATTTAGACTAGGATTTAACCTGGATTTAGGTAAAATAGAATCCCATATTTCGTAAATCTGAAATTCATGGATTGGCCTGCAAATCTCGAATTTAGTAAATCCTACAAACCGATGGGTTTACTGGATTTAACTTTGTCTGCTGCTCGTCCCGCGCCAAGACTACCTCATATTCTTGGAAGCACTTGGCTGCTGCCTGCCTGCCAATCAGGCTCCATATGATGGGTTTACTGGATTTAACTTTGTCTGCTGCTCGCCCCGCGCCAAGAATACCTCATATTATTGGAAGCACTCGGCTGCTGCCAATAGGGGTGTAGCTGTTCGCGAACGACGAGTCAGTTTGACATCTCTAATATTAATATATATAAATAATATAGTATATTAATTATATAACTTATATTATATAAATATATAATATCTATATTAGTACATTACTAATATAGTATATTAATATATTATTATTATTATTTTATTATATATTATAATTTATAAAATTTAATGTTTTAAAATATAATAAATTTTTTATATATAATTATTTTATATTATTTTATATTTCAAACAATAACGATTCGAACACGAACGAACGCATCACTGTTCGTGTTTGGTTCGTTTAACTAACCGAACGAAAAAAATTTGAACGCGTTTGTCTCGTTTACTTATCGAACGAATCGAACACGAACTCATTGACGAACCGAACACGAACTGTTCGCAAACAACGAGCTTTTTTGACAGCCCTAGCTGCCAATCAGGCTCCATAAAAAGCACAGTCATGCTAGGATGTGGGGGTAAAAACGCCATTTATTGCGCAGATATGCAAGGCACTTGTCTATTTCCTTAACACCTGTAACCTGCAAATAATATTAAAAAAATCTTGAAAAAGCATAAAGATGATACAAATAGTGAAAATACTGTACGAAAACACAAAAAAATATATTACACATTTTACACACATCATCATATCATTGCTTTATTTGTGCTGATCCATCGGATTCTTTATGACTTCATAACTTGCGCTATCAAAAACTGAGGTATACTTAACTTTCACATTTACACACATAGCACTCAAATCTGAAATATCACGTAAAACATAGTACTATTACCATGTTTTAAAAGTCATATATACCTTTTTGTGCATAGGTTTAAAGAACCAAACTGCTATGTATGTTAATATAGAAATTCAGGCGTGAAATATGTAAATACATAAGAATTGTGCACTATGTAGGTAAATTTTCCTTATTTTTAATGGAGGTTTCATTACTACTGCTAAATCATCTTTGCAGGGGTTTCATGTTAGTGCCCCACCATTCCATGGTTCTCTTGATGAAGTCAACCAAACTATTGATCCAACAACCAATTTAACTTCATGTGAAATTCCCCATAAGGCTGCTTTTAACGCCTATTCTGCTGAGGGTGATATTAATTCTTATAGAAATTCAGAAAGCCAAAATGCCAACCGGGATATTAGGTCAGTTTACTGTGTACTGTAATAAAAATGTTGGTGAATTTCCATACATACTACTCAATTCATATGTATTTACATGTCTAACCCCTAAACTTTGATTTTTCATATATGACACCTTACCTATGAATGAAAAGTTGTTTTTCACCTTTTCATACCTAAAAAAGTGGTACTTTTGATGAAAACAATGTTTAGATGTTAGATATGTTAATATGTATGAATTGGGCAGTGTGCATGTAAATGCCCCAAGGTCATTACCAACCAAGTATTGCCATTCATGCAGTTTATTCTCTTTGTTCTGGCTTGCAGGTCCCCTACAGTTGATATTGAGACTTCAGCACCTTCCAAGATTTTGGCATTAAAAGTTCCCACTTTTCATGCATGGTAAGTGCTAATGTTACTATTGTTTTCAGAACTAAAAATTGTCTTCAGAATTTTGTTTGGAGGCATTTACATGCATAGCACAGAATTCTTAAGTATTTACACATCTCACACCTAAACTTTCATATTTGCACCCGTAGCACTCAAATTTTTAACATCATCTCTTTTTAAATGTGAAATATACCTTTTCCTGCATAGGTTTAAATTTAAAGCACCAATTAAAGCACCAAGTGCTATGTATGTAAATATGAAGGTTGATGTGAGTTATGTTAATACATAAGAATTGCTTGCTATGTATGTAAATTCCCCTTTTTGTTTATTAAGCTAATTCTATTTTGTGGCACTGCTGGTTCAGTGAACAAGGGCCTTGGTATTCTGTAATTGCATATGATGCATGTGTTCGTCTCTGCCTTCACGCATGGGCACAGGGTTGCATGGACGCTCCAATATTCTTGGAAAATGAATGTTTGTTGTTGCGAAATTCTTTTGGGTGAGCTATTATTATTCAGTTTAGTAACGTTATTGCTGAAAATAATAAAAAGTCTATCTTCAAGTGAAAATGTGATTAAATTATGTGCTTGAATTTATAAATTTTAATTAGATATGACTGAATATTGCACATTCTAGAATTTTACATGAACAGCGTATTTATGGTTCCCTTACACACACACACCACACACACACACATTCATACATATACATATTATCTTTGCCAACATATTTTGGGCTTGTTTTAGGAAGATTTTCCTCCATTTATGCATGCTAATAGTTTTCTTGTCCTGTTTAGTTCTAATTGTCCATGCATGATGTTCTTGAAACTGTTGACCATCTCTTACATTCCTTCTTGTACTTGGTGTTCACGTTATCTTTATGGGGTATCTACATACATACCACCAAATTCTTATGTTTTGGCATATCAAAAAGCTAAACTTTGCCTTTTTATATTTATATCACCCAAATCTTTCATATCACATCAAACAACCACTATTTAAGCTTTTAAAAACTAAAATGCATGACCTTTTCATGCATAGGTAAGGTTACATATGTAAAAATTGAAATCTTCGGGATCGATATGTAAATACATAAGAATTGAGTGGCATGCTACTAAATCTTTCTATCTTTATTTGCCTTCTATCTTGTTAAGCTGATTACAATTTTTAACTGAAATCATTTCTTGTCCATGCCTATTTTTCTTCCTAGTAAATGGGAAATTCAAGGATGAGCTCAGCAATCATCATAGTTTTACCGTTTTGGGTTGGTAATAATTTTTTTCCTAAAACATTCTCCAGATAGTTTATGCATCATCTGATTTTATCCTATCACCATAGTTATTTTTAACATCATGAAAAGTAGATGCCAAAGTTCTTTCCTCATAATGACTGACTGCTCCATTAATTGAGAGTTTCAAATAATATGAGAATTTCTTTGGCGCAAAGGCGCAGAACTACAATATAAAAAAGAAGAAGAGTAGCAAAAGTATTGGTTAATGCGTGGTTAAAGTATTTAAACATCTCATGAAATGTTGCCTACAGTGTTATATGTTAACGTTTAATTTTCAGTAAAAATAGGCGGACTTTAACTGATTTAGTTTGATTCACAGTTCTATGCGAAGAGAAAACAAGAAAAGGAAAGTTATATATCGGTTGTCCTCTTTTGGAAAAGCGTTCATATGTATTTTATTTGTGAATGGTTATTATACCATATTGTTTTTATTTTTTTAAGTTACGTGTTGCTGGTGTTCATATGTTTCATCTATTTTATAAAAATTTGTTTCCTAAAGTGCACAAAATCATGCAGTTTACAGCAGATAATGTTGCAATCCCAAGAGGAGCTCTTGGAAAAGCATTCTTCAGAACCTCTCGAAGGAACCATGTTACAAAAAAGAACATTTGGAAAGTTGAAAGTTCAAGGCACAAACTTTCTTCCCTTAATCTCTATATGTTGTTTTCAACTTCTTCCCTGCATCGTTAAACAATGCTTCTGCTTTCAAAAATCACCATTAACATGGCTCTCACTGCTCCAGTCATCATTCTTTGTTGCAGTCCATAGGGTCAGAATGTCGTTAAGGAGACCAATATTAAAACAGTGTTTATTCAAGGATCAAAAGTCAAACTTCCAGTCAACTGTATCATTGAGATTGGCTTCTCTACGGGGGGTTAAAGTATTACCAAGTATACCTGCCAATATTTCTTTTAGCAGGGCTTATATGCAAGGTAGCACACAATACATGAAGCAGGTTTCTGCGCTCCTCAAAACTCAAGTTAATTCTCTCAATGCTTGTACTTGTGCAGTTCCACGAGGTACATCGTGATTATAGATTCACTTTGTTTTTTTTGTGCAAGATTTACATACATACCACAAAATTCATATCTATTTACATATCAAATACATAAACTTCAATTATTACATCTTACCTTACCTATGCATGAAAAGGTATTTCACTTCTTTAAATTTGAAATCGCGGTAAATTTGATGTGATATGAAAATTTTATGTGGTATAAATGTAAAATTAAAATTTAGGTGTTAGATATTTAAATACATAGGAATTGGGTGGTTTGTCTGTAAATGCCCCTTTTCCTTTTTGGTGTAATCATTCAATGCTTTCTTATTGTAGTAGAAGAATCATATTTTTGCCATTTGAGATTGAAAAGCTTAGCTGAAGAGAACATGACCAGGATGCAAGTTGGTTCTGGTGAAAAACATGTTTTGTATGTTTCATTTTTCATATATTAATTTACATTAATCATTTATGTGCTGGTTTACAGAAATCAACCTTTATTTGATATGCTAACAACTTAATATTTATTTCAGTTTCCCTGATAGTATGGGAGATGATCTAATTGTTGAAGTTCATGATTCCAAAGGAAAGATTCTCGGTCAGGCTGTTGTTCGGTTGGCAGATATTGTGGGTGATCCGGTATGGTATTCTGCTGCCGTTTTAAGTTGGGACATTTACATACATACCGCCCAATTCCTATATTTTTTACATATCTAACACTTACCATTACTTTTTATATTTATAACTCCCAATCTTTCATATCACATCAAAAATAACATCATTTTAACTTTTAAAATGTAAAATCCAGTTTTTCATGCATAGATAAGGTGGTATGGTATGTATGTAAAAATTGAAGCTTAGGTGTTAGATATGTAAATGAATAGGATTTGAGTGGAATGTAAGTAAATCTTCTTTTTAAATTTGATGGCATATTATTGTGCTTGTAACTTATGGCACTTATTCTTCAGAGTGAGAAAGTTCGTTGGTGGTCTATTTATCGGGAACCGGAAAATGAATGTGTGGGACAAATTCAGCTTTATGTAAAATACTCGACTGCTACAGATGAAAGCAATCCTCTAAGGGTATATTTGCATTAGTTTTTGTACTTACCATAGAGGTTCATTGTGCAAATAAAGTAGGATATTCTGTCAGAACAGTTAGGGAAGGATTAAGTTTCTATTTAAGTCTCATTTAGTCAATTTTTTTGTGAAATAATTTTTGCCCTCTTGCAGTGTGGATCTGTCGCAGAAACTGTGGCATATGACATTTTGTTGGAAGTTGCAATGAAAGTTCAAAATTTTCACCAACGCAGTTTGCTATTACATGGACCCTGGAAATGGTTACTAGCAGAATTTGCTTCCTATTATGGTGTTTCAGATGCATACACAAGGCTAAGGTATTAATGGAGTGCTCCAGTTACTTTCCTTTGCTGGTCTTCCTCATTTCTGTTTGGGGCATTTGCATACATACCACCCAATTCCTATTTATTTACATATCTAACACCTATACTTCACCTTTTTACATTTATACCACTTAAATCTTTCACATCACTTCAAAAATACCACCAGTTTAACTTAAAAATGGTGAAATACACCTTTTTATGTATAAGTAAGGTGGCATCTTTGCAAAAATTGAAATTTAGGTGTTATATATGTGAATGCATAGGAATTGAGTGGTATTTATGCAAATCTTCCTTTCTTTTCTTACTAAGGATCTTAAAAACGTCTGCAGATATCTTTCTTACATCTTGGATGTAGCAACCCCCACAACATATTGCCTAACATTGGTGCATGATCTTCTTGCACCTGTACTTCTGAGGACTGGCAATGAAAGAACTTTGAGTCATCAAGAGGTACACGAACCTGTCTTATATTTGCCTTCATATAGTTCCATCTCTCTCCCTCTCTCTTCAGTTACTTATATATTGTTATAGATTCTTGCTGTCTTTATTTATATATGTGTGGCCCAGAACATTATATTTCAGAATCAAAGTAGCATGCTACTGGGGCCTTTTGCAAAGGCAGATTGGAGATTTCTGTTGAGATTTTCACCAAGTGGGTTTTTTGATTGTTAAATTCATAAACCTTGGGTTCTGGCAGAATCAGAACTAAAGGTGAGGGTTGGAGAAATTAAAAATTAAGGCGTAGATAGTATTTAATTTAAAGCCTTCTTCTCCATAAAAAAAGTTTAAAACGATTATAAATATTATTATTAAATTAAAAGTATAGCTAATATTAAATTATTATTAAGTATTTAAGTTTAAGGGGCACAATTTTCAATGTATTATATATATTAAAGAATTTAATCAAAATCTAGGGGTGGTGAGCACCTCCTCCATTCACTCCCTGGTACCACCACTGCTTGGAGTCGGAAAAGGGCTTCCAAGGAAGGAGGATTCAATCTACAATATAGGATTACACGTAGAGGAGTTATCAAAGTTGCATATTTGGTATCTCTTCTCACATTAGCTTTTTATACTCCGTAGAGGAGTTATCAAAGTTGCATATTTGGTATCTAGGTTCCATAGGGTCTTCTCACATTAGCTTTTTATACTCGTTACTTTTTGTTTATAAGCTTGTCTCATTTTAGAATTCATGCTTTTATTCAAAACACAAATGTTTCTTTCGAAGTTCAAGAATTACTTGTGATGATCCACTAATATTGTCCTTCTTTCATTAATTCACATTGTATTTTTGTCCCACATAATAAATACTCTCATAATTTAAGTTGACTGAGAGAGTTGGATAAAGCTGGTGATGATAATGATTTTCCCTTGTTTATTTGATTTTTTTCTAGTTAATAATAACGTTTATTTTTCTGTTAATTAATGCGTCAGAATCGTATCCTTGGAGCAATTGAGGTGCAAATTGATATAGTTTTAGCTTTGGTTTTCGAAAACTACAAGGCACTGGATGAGTCATTACCTTCAGGAATAGTTGAAGTGTTCCGACCTTCTACTAGCATACCAGCTGCAGCTTTGGTGCCTGCTGTAAATCTATACAAGCTTTTGCATGATATATTGTCTCCTGAGGCTCAACTAAAACTTTGCAGCTATTTCCAGGTTAATATTTTTATGAAAGTAATCTATTATAGTATTTTTTTTTGGGTTATCTGCAAAATTTTGGTACTGAAAATTATCTTTAAAAATGTTGATACCTTGTGCAGGTTGCTGCTAAGAAGATATCAAGGATGCAGCTATCTGAAACTGATGAATTAATTGCAAGTAGCATTGGTGGGATTTCTACAAGCAGTAATGGAGGTCCTATGATGGAAGCTGTAACTCTTACTACTGCTTATGAAAAGATGAAAAATTTATGCTTAAATATAAGAAATGAAATATTTATTGATATTGGAATTGATGATCAGCATTTACTGCCTAGGTTAGTTTTTTCTCAAACTCATTAACTCTAGAGACACGTCATGTTTGCTTCTTTTTATCTACTGATTTTTTCTATTCTGTATATGTATTTGTCACTAACACACCGCTTTTGAAAATTTTCCTCTGTGATAGAAAGAGCATACTGACCTCAGTTATTCAAAACGTCTTGTCTGAACTTATCATCACTTGCGTTATGAGAAGTGTTAAAATGCCGCCCTGATTTTTTACAGGGGGTCATTTTAGTAAATAGTCTATAAAAGTGTCAATTTAGTCCTCAGACTCTTTTATGGGGGCTAAAATAGTCCTCGAGAACTATTTCAACACATATTAAAACAGTCCGGGACTAATTTAACACTTTCATATACTCTAGAATTAAAATGATACCATGTAAATAATCAAGAGACTATTTGGCGCTTTACTCCTTATGTTATCAACCATGATGTCAACTATTTGTTGCTGTTTCATTAGTCACTTGAGTGGGCCTCAAATGTGGTATATGTGGCCAATGTATCTCCTTGTTCATTTATTCTGCATTAAAATTTTATCCATACCCACGCATTGTTTGGACAATCTGTGCTAAGTGCCCATTGTCAAAAAGCATTTTATTAACATCTCTATCTGAACCTAAAGATCTAATTGAGGTTTATCCATTTAGAAAGTTGGTTCTTAGTTTGTATAGGCTATTTTCTCCACTAAACAGTAGTTATTTCTACCATCACTTTAGCTGTTAGGTGCTTAGAACATGAGCAGATTATTTGATGCCTGGTATTTCTTTTATATTTTTTGACAAAATTATTTTTCTATCATGAAACCCTAGCCAGAATGAGAATGAGTAATGAAGTATAAAGAAAAATGTTTGCAGCTGAAATTTTTTGCATTGAAAGTTTAGTGTGTTATGCTCCTTTATATAGTGTAGTGAGAAACGTGTCACCTGTTCTTTGCAGGGCGTGTTTTTAGTCTCAAAATCTATAGAAGTGTCAATTTAGTCCTGACTATTTCAACCTCACTTTAAAAAGTTGGACTAATTTGACGCTTTACATATACTGAGATTAAAATGATCTCATGTTATAAGTCACGAGATTATTTTGACACTTTACTCATAGCGATATCCTTTTAAAAGTTTCAAGTTGACCCTCTTATGATTGTCCTGCTGCTATTTAGACAAAAAGTTGTCTTTTATATTTTAGGCATATTACTACTCAGCTTTCTGTATAATTTGATGAATTTGAATAAAGCCCTATACATGCGCTGCTGATTGTGATGGATGCAGCTCACTCAAGAAACCTGTTTTAGTTAATTCATCAATCGAGAGAGAATTTACTAACATTTATCCTCTGTTTACCAGTTTCAGTTGGCGTTTTATATCATAATGCCACATCTAATTAAGCTTATCCTTTTTTCCTTTTTAGTTTTGTAGAACTGAAGAATATATCAGCTTCAATTTACAGCGTGGAACTTTGTAATCGATTACGTGAATTCCTTATTGCATTTCCTCCCACTAGCCCTTCACCACATGTGGTTGATCTCATCATTGCTGCAGCTGATATTCAGAAGGATCTCCTTCACTGGAATATATGGTAATTGTGATGATAACGTGTAATTTGCTGCATGTTCCGTTTTAAGCATCCCTACGCCACAGCCCTGCAATGCTTACTTTTTGAATTTTTTTGCAGTAATGTAAAGGGGGGTGTTGATGCGAAAGAGCTCTTTCACCTGTACATTATAATCTGGATTCAAGACAAACACTTGCAGCTTTTGGAGAAATGCAATCAAGACAAGGTTTTTATTTATTTTGTGAAAACTTACTTAAGGATGGTATTCTGCAATAATTACATATTCGACCTTATTGAGTTGAAATAAATAGTCCAAACCTCCTGGTGAACTAAGCATCTCGATCGCCAATTGAACCATTATGAAAAATTGGATAAACGAAGAGAGTGATACTTTATTGGATGCTTACTTGTGACACCGTCTTAGCTGGCCAAAATAATTCGGTGAGGATTTTGGGAAACCTACACAAATCCTTCTCAACAAAGAAGAGCCCATTTGCATTAGTGCTAGGACAATAAGAACCTCCTGGTTGACGGGCGTGAGAAGCCCTGCGTCACTCATAATTCCCTAGATGTAATCGTAATTTCTTGTAAGAAGGTCCACACTTAAGTCAGGACTACATCTTTCTCACTTAATGAATATTCCTCTGTATCAAACTTTCCCTTCTTTTATTTATAGACGACATTCCATGACCATCTTAATGAGTGCCTTAGAAATAAAAGAAGTTCAACCCTAGAGAGTTAGAAAATTCCAATTCAATGAAAGACCTGGAGAAGTGACTAGAAAGAGGGAATTCAATAAAGTTTCTTCCTCCTTTGTATTAGCTAATTTCTTCCTTTGATGAAATATACTTATTTCTTGCTCCAAAAATAATAATTTATGTTGCCCTTCCTTCCCATATGCTTGACGCATTGGTAAGATATTTTTTTCAGTGTCTTGTGGGTGTTTTGAATCCCCACCATAAAGCTACTCTTATATTATCATTGTTCTATCTTCAACGTTATGTGTTAGTCTCCCCCCACCATAAAGCTACTCTTATATTATCATTGTTCCATCTTCAACGTTATGTGTTATTTTCTCTTAGTCTCTCTCCCTTAACATCACAAAACGCATAAATATAACTTTCATTAAGTTTGCATCTCTTTTCTAATCTTCAACTGGCGATTATTCATAACTTTAATCGAAAACTGAAGATTTACACTTTAAAACTTCATAATACAGTTTTTAAATCTTGTCCTACATCACTTACATTTCAAATACAAAAAGAAACTTGTGGTACTACAATTGCATTGATTTTAAAGAAAAAGAATCACTTTTTTTAACTTCGAAATGTTAATCTCAATCAGCAATAAGAGAAATGTTATTTTTAGTGAAGGCATCTCTGCAATCCCCACCGAGAAGTTTAAAGCTATCAGAGATTAACCTGTGCTAACCTCCATCCATGGCATGTGCAACTTCCATAAATTAGCCAACTTTTGCTTGAGCTTTATATGAGGTTTTAGCATAATCATGGCACCCATCAATTAATGCTTCAAAGGGGAGCGAATTTAAATTAGCCTTGGCTATGCTAAAAACCTTTATGGAATTTGAGGAACTCTTAGCCCACCCACTTTGAAATTGCTGAATTTTACAATGCTTTTGGGTTTCTCTGAATCTTTTGTATTTGGAATTACAGGAGTCCTCTAACAAACATCAACAAAACCGGATATAGTACTATAAATTTTAATTGGTTGTGAAAGCCTTTCATAGTGTTATCATTATCAACAAAACCGGATATAGTACTATAAATTTTAATTAATTGTAAAAGCCTTTCATAGTGTTATCATTATCTTTAGAGAGTCCATGTTATATTTAATTATGAAGCTCTTAAATATTTGAATGCTCAAGTTCTTGACATGCCAAGTTAGTATAAATTTTTCAAGAGTACACTTTTATTTTCAATTATAAAGCTAGTATTAAAAATAAAATGGTTTATGCACTTAATAATGTCCTCTTTTACACATTGTTTATAAAAGTTAGAGTAAAGTGTCAAAATAGTTTCCTAATTATTTAAATGAGGTCATTTTAGTCCCAGAGTTTATAAAAGTATCAAATTAGTCTCCATATATTTTTTTATATGGTTAAGATGGCACGAGGGAGGACGATTCTAATTTCCTTTATAAGAGTTTGGGGACTAAATTGGCACTTTTATAGACTTTGAGACTAAAATCGCCCATGCAAATAGTCATTGGACCATTTTAACACTTCTCTCATAAATATTGTTGGATTTGACAAAATGATCTCCAACATCAGCACATGTTTAGATATTTGTTAAATCTATGAATCATTGGTAAAAGCGGATCGTCTGTTGATTGAATAATTGGAGCAAGATGGTCACCCTTGGGCTGTGCATAGCCTGCAAAAATAAATATGAGCATTAAGGAAACAACCTTTTTGTCATTTTTTCCTCCTTTTGGGTTTAAATATAGATTTTAAACATTTCTACATTTCTTACTCTTCTTATCGCCTAAATGATCAACAATTTTTTAGCCATGATCTGCTTTATCATTAATGTGTTTGAAGATTTGGATAGATACCACTTAATTCCTATGTATTTACATACCTAAACTTTAATTTTTTAAATATATGCCCCCTTACCTATGCATGAAAATGTGTATTTCACTTTTAAAATAAAACAATGGTATTTTTAATGTAGTATGAAAAACTTGGGTGGCATAATTTTAAAAGGTAAAGTCTAGATGTTAGATATGTAAACACATAGGCATTGAGTGGTATCTATGTCAATATCCCTAATGTTTTACCTTGTTTTGACTCCTGAAACTTTTGTTTCTGTGCCAATATGTGTTGCCAGGCAAAGTGTTCTGCCATTAGAACGCCTCATTTGTCAAACCCTTTTGTTGACGACATGTATGACCTACTGAGGAGTACTCTCAACGAGTATGAAGTTATCATTCGTCGCTGGCCAGAGTACAATTCGCTTCTCGAAAATGTGTGAAACTATGATTCATTGCTTAATAAATAAATTTCTTTTCTTCTTCATTGCATTTTATCTTGCTTTTAATGCATTCTTATGGATTGCTTCTCCATTTTGCCTTCAAAAAAAATTTAAAGGTAATTGCAAATGTTGAGAAATCAATTATTGAGGCTTTAGAGAGGCAGTATGCCAATGTTTTAGCTCCGTTGAAGCACGCTCTAACACCCAAGAAATTTGGACTCAAATATGTGCAAAAACTAGCTAAATGCAGTAATTTACGCCCTTATGCGGTACCCGATGAGGTGAGCCTTCTTTCTCCTTTCTTGTTTTTCCCAACTTCATTATGCTCTATTTAAAATGAGCAAATTGTCAAAATCATCTTTTAATTATTTACATTGTGTCATTGTCGTCGCAAAGTCTATAAACATGTGAAATAAATTTCCAGATTCTTTTATTATAGGTTAAGTAGTCTTCATGGAGGACTATTTTAGCCCACATTAAAAGCATTTGGGGACTAAGGCTCTGTTTGGGGCAGCTTATCTGTTGAGGTGGCTCACTATTTGGAAATTGCGTTTGAGCAGCTTATCCAAAAACGCAAATGATTTTTTACACTAAACGCGGAACGCGAGTCGCACCCCGCGGTCCGCGTTTCCAAATAAGTAGTTCATCTGGATAAGCACAGGCTGCCTCAAACTCACCCTAAATTGACATTTTTATAGACTGCGAATAAAATGACCCCCCACATTCCTACAACCATTCTAACGCTTCTCTCTATGTAAAATATTTATCTTTTCATCAGCTTGGAGTTTTAATGAATAGTATCAAAAGATTGCTTGATGTTTTGCGGCCGACGGTAGAAGCGAAATTTAATTCTTGGGCTTCTTATATGCTTGATGGAGTAAATAATTCTATTGGGGAACGCCTTAGTGAAGTCACAGTGACACTTAGAGCCAAATTCCGAAACTACTTGCAAGCAATTGCAGAGAAGCTTGTGGAGAATGTGAGTACATTATGAAAATGAATACCATTTTACATTTTAACAAAGATTTTAGGCAATGTAGTTTTACATTATTGGATCACAGATTCGTTCACGACGTGCCACGAGATTGAAGATGATTATCCGAGATTCGAAGGATTTCATAGCTGAATCTGATATCAGGAACAGGATGCAACCACTTAAGGATGAACTTCTAAAGATGATAAAACGCCTTCATGCAATTTTTGAGATGCGCGTCTTCGTGCTATTATGCCGTTGCTTCTGGGATAGGATGGGACAGGTATCTTATTCGAAAATTTATACATACCATTCAATTCTTATGTATTGACATATTTATCATCTAAACATCAATTTTTACACGTATGTCACCTTATCTATGCATGAAAAGGTTCATGTCTTATTGAAAGTTAAAATAATAGTTTTTTTTTTATGTGATATGAATGATTTAGATAATAGATATGTAAATACATAAGAATTGGGTGGCATGTATGTAAATGCCTCTATCTTATATCATATCAGTGTATATTCCATTAAGCATTAACTCTCCAAAAATCCTTCCAAGTTCATATCAGGCACTAACTAATCTCCAACAATTTGTATAACATTATGAAAATTGATTTTGATGCATGTTTACCCCCACAATTAGAGTTTTGCATAGGTAAGATAGGCCCCAACATGGTCATGGCACACTTCGACACCAACATGGTGTGCAAATTGTTTTTTGTTCAATATATTTTTTGGAAGGTTGACATACATACTGCTTAATTCTTATCTATTTACATATCTAACACCTAAACTTCAGATTTTACATACAGGCCAAGGCCAACTTATTCATAAACATGTGTATTTGACTTCTTAAAAATTAAATTAGTGTTATTTTTAATGTGATATGAAAGATTTGGATGGTTTAAATCTAAAAAAAAAAGAGTTTAGGTGCCAAATATGTAAATACATAGGAATTTGGTAGTATTTATATAAATGCCTCTAATTTTTTTGGTTCAGGTTAATAAATGCGTTAGTGTCAAGTTTGTTAGGTCCAATTACTAATGTATTAATTTGTTCATACATATATATATATATATTATTTTAAGGATTATTTGCTCTCTTTAGGTAATATATTGATATTTGGAGCATTTACACACATACCACACAATTCTTATGTATTTACGTATCTAACACCTAAACATTCATATTTACATGTATACCGCTCAATTTCTTAACATCACATCAAAACTACCGCCCTCATTATCTTTTTAAAAGTGAAATACATATTTTCATGTATGATTTTATGACACCAAGATGATGTGACATGTATGTAAATTTCCCTTGACATTCAACATCCTGTTTTTCATGGATTTGTTCCTAATCACTGCCATGTCGTCCCTGCTTCATAGGTTTTATTTAAAAATGATTTACATACATACCCCTCAATAACTATGCATTTACAATACATATCCCTTACACATGATAAGAAATATTTGGATGTACAAATGTAAAAAGTAAAATTTAGGTGTAAATGCCCCTTTATTAAATTTGGTCATACTAATTACTAATAGTTTAACAATTGAATTGTTTCAGGATGTTCTAACTTTCCTAGAGAATAAGAAGAACAGAATTTGGTATGGAAGTGCAAGAGTCGCAGTTTCTGTAAGTTATCTCTCATTTTGCCTCAAAACTAGCCTTTGAATTACTCATTTTACTCCGGTTATGAAAATTGGATCAGAGGAAGAACGAGAGGTTCAAGATTCAGAAGTTCAATTGTGATTAAATTGGATGATGTAATAAATATTTTAATTATTTTAATATAATTGAATTGATATAAATATTATTTTAATTTAATATACTTCATTTTTTTTTAAACTTTAGTATAATATTATTCAAAATAAAAATTTTGAAACATGACGTTTCCTCAATCATATTTCTAACAACCCGATCAAAATTAAAATGTTAAGATTTAAAAAATATCTAAGCCCTGAGGTTCGTGGTTCAATATGGTTTTTGACCAGTTCAACACCGGTTCTGTGTTGAGACAATTTTGAGCTTGAAACGAACCGATCTAATAACTCGTTCACAGTTGAACCAGTTAAGCCGTCTGTCCAGTCCAATTTTTAAAACCGTACATTACACCGTACCTTAATGCTCGGTTATTTATTTATTTATTTATTAATTTAATAAGTAGTATATAATGCAGATTTTGGATGAAACATTTGGATCACAAATGCAACAATTGCTTGGAAATGCGGTGCAGAGAGAGTTGGAGCCTCCAAGTTCTATAATGCAAGTGCGTTCATTGCTCTGTAACTGTTTACCCAGTCATAAGAATTCCAATTTTAATTACTAGAACTTTCTTTTACCTGACTACAAAAGATCTCCATTTGTTCCCTATTTAGTGGCATTCTTTATTTATTTAGTTAGTTATCTGAGGATAGGTAGAAGTTTTAGAAATATAGGCATTTGTTTTAGGGTTATGTAGCAAGGCTGGATTGGTTGGAACAGCCATTAAGGAGTCTGTACAGTTTAGTTGATTGGCTGCTTCTTGCTTGCCTATGGTTACAATTTATGTAAACCGAACGTTATATTTATTTAGATTTTTTTTTTTTTTGCGCTTTGTTTAATATTCCAAATTTGGATAAACATATTTATCTCGATATATATATATATATATATATATATATATATATATATATAATACAAAGTAATCGACTCTTTTTTTATCGAAATTCTCAGTAACTGTTCAATGAGATGAAATAAAAAGGCTTCATTTATCAAATTTGAGTAACAAACAGTGAAATATGTGATTGCTAGCTCTAACTTCAATATTTATCAACATGCATTTCACTGTGATAAATAGTTATGAGATTTAATAGGCAAATGTAGGTATGTATATATATATATATAATTTGAAAAGGATTAACTACGAGAAAACGGAAATTCAGTTGGCATTTTCAATTATTTAGGGTCAGTTTAGGGCAGCTTATTTGATGCAGTAGCGTTCCGAAAACTCACCTTGCCTGTTTGGGCAAATTGCATTTCGGCAGCTTATGCGTCTTGAAAACGCTGAAAACAACCCTCACTAGATATCTATATGTTGTAACATCTTTCTAACAGCAGTTTGATTTTTTCAAAAAAATAAAAATTTATAATAATCAATGCAACTAATTTATCAACAAATTATTTTTAAACAGCTTATCAATAGATTATTCAATAAGTTACAGCCACCCCAAACAAACCCGACCCTTTAATTGCTTTAAATATTTAATTTTAAAAATTAAAAACATATTAAAATTTTATTTATATATTTTTTTATCATTATTTTTATCTAATATTTTTTAACTATGATGCATGTTGAACACAAGAAAGAGAATTGCACAAAACACAATAAACGCACTACTAAAAAAATTTAGAAAATTAGTTACACATCAAGCTAATATTAAATGTTTCTAATAAAAAACCTAAACTTTCATATTTATATAACACCCGAATCATTATAATCAAATTAAAAATATAATATTAATTTCTTTAAAATCCTTTCTATACATACATTTTCATGTTATTATGACACTAAAATATGATACAAGTAAACATAAAAGTTTTAGCAGTAGAAAGGCAAATATAAATCTCCCAGAAATTAAATACAAAATAAAAAGCATTAAACCATTAATAAACCATGAAATAATTAATATTAGAAAAATTAATGAAAGCCTTTAGATGTAAGCTAGTTGCAAACAGTAAAGTACCAACAACAACACCTTCATTGTTGGGTCTCAAGCCCATGATACGATAATCGATAGCCAGCATAAAATTTTGATCGAAAAAATCACGACATTAATGCTTTAAAATAAAAAGTAAAGCATGATGAACGAAATAGATCATCTATCAAAACTAATAATAATTAAGAATAATTAAACATGCTTCGGCGTGTAAATGAGATTATTCAAAAAGATTATTTATGAATTAAAGCAAAACACAAAGTCTTATGATTATCAAATAAATGGTTATAAACGGGCCACATAGGAATTAGACTGAGTAACATATCTAACCCAACGATAAGGATTGTAGGTCTTCGATTTCTTTGCTATCTGCAAATATCTCACCTGAAATGACACAAATTTCACCACTGAGATGCATAAACAAGTAAGAGAAAATATAAGAGTCATGTAATATATGACAAGATTAAATTTTGGGGCATTTACATACGTACCGCCCAATTCATAACACCCACCAAGCTCTGCTTTTTTATATTCACACCATCCATATCTAGGGGTGTAAACGAACCGGACACGAGCGAACAGAGCTTGTTTTCGTGTTTGATTCGTTTGAAATTTAATTTGTTTGAAATAAGCTCGTATTCGAAATTGTTCATTAAGTCACTGTTCGTGTTCGTCTCTTAATGAACGAGCCGAACACGAGCTGTTCGTAAACGACGAGCCAGTTTTACATCCCTAATATTAATATATATACATAATATATTACATTAATTATATAACTTATATTATATAAATATATAATATCTATATTAGTATATTATTAATATAATATATTAATATATTATCATGGTTAATTATTATATATTATAATTTATAAAATTTAATTTTTTTAAATATCATAATTTTTTATGCATAATTATTTTAAATTATTTTATATTTCGAACAATAATGATTCGAACACGAACGAACGCATCACTGTCGTATTTGGTTCGTTGAACTAATCGAACTATTAGTATATTATTAATATAATATATTAATATATTATCATGGTTAATTTATTATATCTTATAATTTATACAATTTAATTTTATAAAATAACATAATTATTTTAAATTATTTTATATTTCGAACAATAACGATTCGAACACGAACGAACGAATCACTGTTCGTGTTTGGTTCGTTTAACTAACCGAACAAAAAAAAATGTCTACGTTCGTCTTGCTTACTTATCGAACGAATAGAACACAAACTCATTGACGAACCAAACACGAACTGTTTGCGAACAACGAGCTTTTTTGACAGCCCTATCCATATCAATCATATCAAATCCAAAATACCAATATTTTTTAGATATCTTAAAACAAATATGGCCCCGAGAAAGCTTTATATACATAACACTTAATTCGTATGTATAAATCTTCAATTCATACATATATGATACTTATGCATGAAAAGGTGTGGTTTGCTTTTTAAAAGTTAAAATAGCGGTATGGTTTTATTTGATATGATAGATTTGAGTGATATGAATGTAAGAAGTAAAGTTGAGATATTAGACTTGTAAATACATAGGGATTGGGAGGTATTTATGTAAATTCCTTCAAAGAATATGAACAGCAGAACTGTGTGATACTGGAACCAAATGCACATTCTAAGGACTGAAAACAAATTGTGAAAACCATTTGATCAAGTGTGAAGCTCATTCTAAGAGCTGAAATATCTGCACTACATTTAGATAGAAATTCAAGAGATAATTCTCTAAACTAAAGGATTAAAAAGGACCAAATGGAATCAGGATTCATTTTATGAAATAGTCCCATTTATGTGAATATTGACAGTCATTTATGAAAATAAAGGTGAGCAATGGGAGACCAACAATTAGGACAATAGAACAAGGGAAGATTTACATATATACCATTCAATTCCTATGAATTTATATATCTAACACCTAAACTCATAAGTTATACATATAAAGCATCTCATTTATGCATGAATAGGCATATTCCGCTATTTAAAAGCTAAAATAGTGATATTTTTTTTTATGTCATATGAAAGATTTGAGTAATATATATGTAAAAGGTGATGAAGTTAGATATGTAAATACAAAAGAATTGTGTGGTATATATATAAATTTCCCTAGAACAAAACGTGGAAGCAACTCACCTGAAGCTTAGATGCATTGTACATCGGTATGGTGAAATTCATACTAACAGGTCCTGCTTCCTTCGTCAGATTTCCTGTAATAGTGCAACAAATTACACTGTTGTCCCACCACAGAACCTAGTGACGAAAATAAAGTTGTTTAAACAAACCACTGAATCAAAAAATTCATACCATGTGATTCCTGAGAAAATGTAAGTTTTGCTCGTAATGTGTGTTCGGAGCCTCCAACAATCTAGAAAATTTTCAAATTGTCATAAAACACGATCGAAAAAGTAACAAGTTCTTACAATAACATTCAAGTTTCAACTTAACTTGAGAATTTCTGATGAAAGCAAAAAACATGAAGGAGCATTTACATACATACCACACAATTCTTATGTAGTTACATTTCTAGCATCTAAACATTCATATTTACATGCATACCACCCAAATCCTTAAACATCACGTCAAACTACCACCATCACTACCTTTTTAAAAGTGAAAATACACATTTTCATGCATATATTTATGAAAATACGAATGCTATAACTTAGTGTGAAAATATCTAACTTAGGGTGTTAGATATGTAAATAAAAAAGAATTGCGTGGCATGTATTTGAATTTCCCAAAACATAACTACAATAACACTGCTATTTAAATAGCAATGTGATTTGGAATATATATATATATATATATATATATATATATTATCTTTCAAATGTAAATGTGATGTATTTGGATTAATGTTATCTTGCCATTTAAAATAATTAATGACAACGAATATATTTATTTATTTTTCTTACCATTTAAGCCATAAGTTTGTGGTAAACAAAATTTTATCTAATTAGCCCGCGAGTTAGATTGCTTCAATCTTGGTTATGAATGTTATGCGAATTACCTCAATGTGAAAGATAACAATAAACCAAATGCCTCTTATCCTAAATAACATAGCATTATGTGAAAGAAAATATTAAACCAAGCATAAATAACTAAAAGAAATAAAAAAGACTGCACATGCATCAGAGTAAAATTATATTAAAATATTAAGGGGTATTTATATACAGGCCAGCCAATTGTAATGTTTTTACATATCTAACACTTACACTTTACTTTTATATCACCCAAATCTTTTGTTTCACATCAAAAATGTCATTATTTTAACCTTTAAAATGTGAAATAAACCATTTAGGCTTCGTTTGAGAGAACAGTGCTCCTCCAGAATGCCAAAAGAATGCCTGCCATTCGTTTGGCCAATCGACTACTCCAGAAAAATAATTAAGAAAAAAAATTTCAAGGAACGGCATTTCTCTCCGTTTTGGGGTCATGACATGGGAGCTCCGTTCGCTGTTTCGGAGCACCGTTAGGCTGGTTTCGGAAAACAAAAGTTCTAAAATATCCTTTGGACTGACTTAGAAGAAGAACGGTGCTCCTCCTTTCTGTTCCTCAACTTCACAAGATACAGACGCATGAGCTCAGAGGATCTGCTTCACCAGCAAGCCACCTCACCAATGCCATTGATCTCGTTTCCTAAGCTGGCATCGTCGTGATTCCTTCTCATGCAAGCAGCTCTCCGGCAACCTGCCATCCATTTCTCTCTTTCTTGAGCTCATACCAAAATACGCTTGGATAGACACATACAGGGGATTGATTGATTAGTCGGCAAGCAACACATCGATGTTGTTGATCATGTTTCCCAGGACATACTGATACAACTTTTTGTTGCTAAATCACATTGGTTCTATTGCACTAAAAGCTAGCTGTTTGAAGGCCAAAGAAGCTCTTGACTGCTCTCTTTTACTTGGATAGACTTTCATAGGCCAAAGGGGCACAGATTGACAATCAGTGGCCTTCAATTCCACTGCAAGTTGATATTTTTTGGGTTGCGAGCAGGTAGCTCTGATGAAATGAAAAAAAGAAAAAAAGGAAAAAAAAAGGCGCAGTTTTCTATTTATTGGGTAAACCGAGAGAGGGAAATGGGGAGAGGGGGTGAGAAATGCGGCAGATGAGCAAGAGGAGAAAATGAAATTGTGAGGGACAGATTTGGATTGGTGTAAAAAGAGAGAGAGAGAGAGAGAGAGAGAGAGAGGGTGGCCGAGAAATGGAGAGAGGGATCGTGAGGGAGTTGAAAACCAGAAAGATAAGACAGGGAGGGGGGCAAGAGAGATCGAAAGGTTGTGACAGCAGACAGGCCCAAAGAGATTCCTCAAAAATTTCCACCACCTCCGTCGATGCCACCTCGACCCGCCGCTGGTCAAATACTTCCTAAATCTGCTTCTTCATTTTTTTCGGTAGTCAATCGATTTTCTGCTACAACCTTCTCCCTTCCTCTCACAATCGTCGAAATGGGGAGAAAAAAGATGGAAGTGAGAATTTGGAAACGGAAAACTCGGCGGCGAGTGGCTTTGGGATTTGAGTCTTATGGCAAGGTGGACAGTTGTTGCCAATTCTATTTCTATAATCTAAAAAAAATTAGGATATTTTTTTTCTTTTATCTTACAAAATTATATTCACAAACGATAATAATTGATTTTTAAAAAAAAACAATAATTTTTTTTTTAATTCAAACAGCAAATATCGTTCCAGGAACCGAAATTTTAAAATGATTATTATTTTAAAGCTGGTTTTAATGGAGCTTTTATGAATGTAGAAGCTCTCTCAAACAAAGCCAATGCAAAGGAAAGATAGCATGTATGTATAAATTGAAGTTTAGGTGCTAGATATGTAAATACATAGAAATTGTAAAAGCTCTCTCAAACAAAGCCAATGCAAAGGAAAGATAGCATGTATGTATAAATTGAAGTTTAGGTGCTAGATATGTAAATACATAGAAATTGAGTGATACGTATGTAAATCTTCCAAATATTAAATATTTGGTCGTTACCTTATTTAGGCTCCATTCTAGCTTCCTATTCATTTCCTTAAAATCAGTTGTTTGTCCAATCGCCCCAGATTCCAAGTCGAAGCTAACCCTGCAGAGTACTCAACAATATATATATTTTAGGACGTCAATAAACGATAAAAAAAGGCAGGTCATACATACGTAATGCTTTAACATTAATTAATATCTACGTAGGATAAAAAGACATACATACTACCCAATTCTTATACGTATACATCTAACACCCAAACTTTACATATCACATCAAAAATACCATCATTTTACCTTTTAAAAAGTAAATTACACTTTTTCATGCATGGATAAGATGGTATTTAAGTAATAATCTAAGTTTAGTGTTAAATAATAGAAATACATAAGAATCGAGTGGTATGCATGTAAATCTTCCTAAACATAACTGTAAAACAGATGAGAGTAAGGCAGTTGCTGTTGATAATGATGAAAAATCCTTTTTTGAGCCATGATAAAACTTAAATTAATGCCAAATTGTCTTCAACATAGTTGGACAATAAGACATTGATAAAAGAATACATAAACTTTAATTGGAACAGCAGAAATTACAGTGTTCTCAGAATGCAACCAAATCCACAATAAAAATTAGGAAGATTCACATACATACCACTTAATTCCTATTTATTTACATATATAACACCTAAATTTTAATTTTTACATACATGCCACCTTCAGCTTACGTATGCATGAAAAGCGTATCTCACTTTTCGAAAGTTAAAATGGTGCTATTTTTTATGAGACATGAAAGACTTGGGTGGTATAAATGTAAAAGGTAAAATTTAGGCTTTAGATATGTAAATACATACAAATTGGGTGGTTAATATTTTAATGCCCCTAATTAAAAACAAGAACCAAATAGAAATATCACCTTGTTGTATATTTTGGCACTGGCATTTGCACTGTAATTGTATTTGCATTTATACTTGATAAAAAATCGGCACGGATTTTAATAATGACTTCAGCCTTCACCAAAGAAAAAAAAAATATTTATATTAACAGCTATTTAGCCTTACGGGTGTAAACGAGTCAAGTCAAGCTCGAACCACCCTTGACTTCAACTTAAGGCTTGAGCTTGATTAATTAATCCACTTCGAGCGCAAACTTAATTTTAAAAATTAGAGCCGGATCAAGATAATAAATAATAAAAAATCACTTGATATAAAATATAAGGTATAATTCTTAAAACAGTTTTAATGATTTTAAGATAAAGTCTTGAATTTTAATATATTTTAAGTATATTTTATATTACTTATTTTTTAAATGAGCCGACTCACAACCTAACAAGTCGAGTTGTGGCTGGTTTGAGCTTTAGCTTGCTAACTCATTGAGCTCAGCTCAGAAGCAATTTATTGAGCTGAGCCCGAGTCAACTTTGACTCGGTTACACCCCTAATTTAGACCAACGCCAATTCACCAGATCAAAAGAAAACTAGTGTCAATATTTTATGCACCTTGAGGGGCCCAGCTTCTTCAATCAATGCATTGATACGGAAAGGAGGCTTGAATTCTTGAGTCATTCTGTAGTTCATGACAGAAAATTCTCCATCAGGTGGTACCTGTGATCAAAGATAGTCAACAGTAATCTTAATATTTTCATTTAAAAATGCATTATACTAAGTGAAGATGTAATGAATATATTAGTATTTAGCTATAACTTTCTTTATGATAAACTCACCAAACTTAAGGTTCTATCCAAATCAAAATTATCAAGATGTACAGATTCATGGAAGTTACAATCATCGAGGATCACCGTCCCTCCTCCCGAAGAAGTTCTATAATCTGCAAAATAAAAAAATTGGAGGTAAATGCAGTGCTTCACTTTAAGCTTAAGAAGCATTTACGTACATGTCACCCAATTCCTATGTATTCACATATCTAGCACCTAAACTTTACTTTTTACATTTATACCACCCAAGTCTTTCATATCACATCAAAAATACGACCATTTTAACTTTAAAAAAAAGAAGAAATTCCCCTTTTCAAGCATAGTTAAGGTGGTATACATGTAAAAATTGAAGTTTACGTGTTAGACATGTAAATACATAGGATTTGAATGATATGTATGTAAATCTTCCTAAACTTAGTGGACTAAAAGTAAGAATGGCTAATCATGTTCTTAAACAAAATACCACCCAACACTTAAACCACCAATCTAGAGCAATGGATAAGAGCGTCATCACCATCAACAACTATTTAAGATTGGCTTTATGAATCCTCATTCTCCATTATTTCATTGGAAGATTTACATCCATGCCACTTAATTCCTATGTATTTATATTTCTAACACCTAAACTTCAATTTTTACATATAGGACACTTTATCCATGCATAAAGAGATATATTTCACTTTTTAAAAGTTAAAAAAAATGATATTTTTGATGTGATGCAAAAGATTTGGGTTGATGTAAAAAATAATCTTTACGTGGTAGATATGTAAATACATAGGAATCAGGTTGTATGTATGTAAATGCCCCTACTTCATTTTGAGTACTATATGAAACATTAAGCATTTTCTATAAATATGATTTTGTACAACCTTTGACAAATATTACCTTCTTCTACCCTCTTCCTTCAGAAATCATTCGGCAGTAATTTATCTACACATCTGATGAGTATAGTTTCTATCATTCATTATCCATTTCCAACCACTCAAGTCTATTACTTCATTTGCAATAGCTGACACTCTCACGATTCATCTAATATAATTATTCATTAATATATTCTTTCTAGTTTTCATGCATATAAATCTAAACATTTTCATTTCAATCACACTTAGTTTGGCTAACGATGACTTTCTTATAACCCAAACTTACAAAATATACAATATGACTGTCATAATAAAATTTTAAAATATTAATTAATTTAAAAAAATATTACCTATTTACGACACTTCAAAGGTGTCGCTTGAGCGGCGAGCAAAAGCGAGAAGAGCAGAGTAAAAGGTTTTGCCCTAAAAGAAGAAAAAAGAAAAAGAAGAAGAAGATGAAGAAGATGAAGAAGAAAGGGAAGAGGAAGGGGGAGACAAACGGCTCAAATAGAAGAGGCGAGCCGCATTCGAGGGAGGAAGGGAGGAGGCAAATGGTTAAAGGGCACGCAAGAAGAGTTACTTCATGCAGGAGTGCTCGATCAAACACCTAAAGGCTCGAGCGAGCCTTCTTCGTGCCTCCATTTCCTGTACAAGGGAGAAGAAGATCGCAACTTCCTATAACTTTACCGAGCAAAAGATGAGGACAAGCTTGAGCAGCTTTTTTGCATCCAGGAGAGCTCGAATGAGCTCTGTAGGCTCGCAGTTCAGGGAGCGGTCAAGCAAGAGCTTTGTCCATAAACTTAAGCGCTGAATGAGCAATGGAATCGACTGAAAGTGAAAGAACTTGGAAGTTTTTAGGTATCATTTTGAAGCAACAACAACAACAACAAACCTTGATCCCAGTGGGGTCAGCTACAAGTTCAAAAAACTGTTACATTAAAAATTGTTAAATTTTATTAAAAATTTTTAGGAATTTTTCACAATAAAAACTAAGACAAAAGGAGAGGAATTTCATGTATGAAGTTTAAATTTCATATTTGATTATTAGTTTCTTCATTAATTTGTCTTAAATTACAAAATAAGAACCCTAAAAATAAAACCTAACTAAATTCAAATTGTTATTATAGATGCAACAAAAGATTAGATTGGACTAAGGAAAAGGAGAATTTGATTACATCGTGCCAGTGGGCAAATATGATTTTGTTTATGAAAGCAATTGCAACTGCTTTTATTGCTTCCAGTAGTTCTTTTAAAATACAAAAGTTCATATTTTTTTAAATAAAGAAATAATAAAATATGATATATACATGATATGCATGCATATAGAGTTATCCCGAGATTGTATTAGTTGAAGGATGTGATGTTCCCGTGCACTAAAATAAAAATTGAAATGAAAATGGAAACGATTGCCTACTCTTTTGGTGGGTTGGAAAATGTTAAACTTCTACTTTTAGTATATATTTAGACGATGAATTCCTTTTACGAATATTGTAACAAAAATAAATAAAATTAAACATAAACTATTTTCTTTATTGTTTGCTTTTTATTTCTCACACTTTTTTACTAATTGCAATTAACAAAATATTTTAAGACAAAAATTATTATTTTAAAAATATTTAGTCCACTAAGTAGTTTAGCACACACCTTTAGTTGCTCAAATTTTATATAAAAAACTTGTTATAAGATAGATAGATCCTAGATAGTACGTGTACAGACGTCGGGGAGCTTAGGCTGATAGGTATTATACTTTAGTTTTTTGCTTTGACAATGGTAAAAGTTTAAGTATGAATAAATTATTGTAAATTAAAATTTTATGAAATAGAATACCTTTTTTGAGTTTTGAATCATTTTATTTATGAGTTGAAACGATTAGATAATTTTCTTTCGTCTGATGGTCAGTTCTCGTTTTGATAATAATCCAAGCTCCTAGGCTGACTCGTGATGATAACTGGTCTAATTATATTATTATAATATTAACTTTAAGCCTCAACTATATTCTTTGATTACATAATACTTCAAAATTACAATGTTTTAGATAACTCTACCTTAGCTCTAGAGGTCATATCCACATTCTTTTATATTATAAATCCAAAATATTTCAATCAGGCAAATTTAAATATTACTTTATCCTCTAATAATATTGATGACTTTCTTATAACCCAAACTTAAATGCATACAATATAACAGGTCTAATTATATTTTTATAATATTACCTTTATGTCTTAACTATATTATTTTATCACATAATACTCCAAAACTACAGCATTCTAGATACTCTACTTCAACTCTAGAAGTTATATCCACATTCCTGCGTATTATAGATCCAACATATTTAATTTTGGCAAATTAAGTATCACTTTATCATCTAATAATATCGATTACTAATAATTAATATGATACAAACTAAGTTTCAATCAAATTGATAATCATACCATACATAGAGTTTCCAACATTTCTGCCAATGCTTAGGTCCTCATTAAGAGCCAATCGTATATCAGGATTTCCACTGAGGTAGCTTTTCATTTGAATAGTTCCATCAATCTCAGAAGTAAGTATATATCCCTGCATTAAGAGATTTCGATTATGTTGATGAAGATGATAATAAAAGGTATAGTAGCAAATATATTAATTGATGTTGGAGAAATTTAAAAACTTAACCAAAACATCATTAATCATCCATCATTGAAATAAAGAAATAGACCCATTTTGTAAGAGAAATAATTGAATCTATGTGGAGAGCTCAAATTATAATCCACTTGAAATGTATATCAGATGATGAAACCCAGATACCAAAAATCTAACAAATTTTATAAGAGAAATTTTCATATATACCAAAATTTTTATATGTATTTACATGTCGATATTTACATTCATATCTAAGCATGAAAAGGTGTATTTAACTTTTAAAAAGTTAGTGATAGTGGTTTTTCGATGTGATGTCAACGATTTAAGTGTTATGTACAAAAATATGAAATTTTAGGTATAAATATGTAAGAATTGTGTAGTATATATGTAAATGCCCCAATATATAAGAGCCTCAAAATCTAAAATACTAAAAAATAAACGAGCAGAACACCACAATATATAAGCTCAAAATAGAGTGAAGCCTGTGATGATTTTTTAGTTATTTTTTTTGGAACAAGTCAAAAGTGTTCTTAAAAAGTTTATGCTAAACTAGCTACAGATTTAGGATTACACTAACGATCAATATCCAATTTGTATATTTTTATATCAGTTGTGGAGAAAACTATTTTAAGATATTAAAAATAAAATACTTTAATGCATAGGATTTAATAATTCTAATCAAAGAGGCCTTTGAATAGATAGATAGATAGATTATATATATATAAGCGTATGCATTGAGAGAATTTACAGTGTAAAGACACGTTTAGGAGTTTAAAGGTCCAAATCAGTAAATTAAAAAGATGGACAGAATGAATTTATGAAGATAAATGACAAAATAAATGGCTCTAGGTCCAATAAAAAAAGAGAACATGGATGAAGATAAAACATTTTATAGGCATATTATATAATTATTTGGTTATGCATGCTACAGAACAAATATTTAAACAGTTTAAACTATCAAAATGCGTCACTACGTACTTTGTTTAACACAGAATGTGAAATACAATAAAACATGAAATGATTAAAATAAAACTTGAAATAATTAAGGAGCATTTACATACATACCACCAATTCCTATGTATTTACATATCTAACACCTAAACTTTATTTTTACATTAATAACACCTAAATCTCTCATATCACATCAAAAATATCACCATCTTAGCTTTTCATGCATGGATAAGATGGCATGTATGTAAAAATAGAAGTTTAGATGTTAGATATGTAAATACATAGGAATTGATTGGTATGTATGTAAATCTTCCAATTATTAATTATTTAACTAGGTTTAAAGTGATGTTTAATATTGTCTACACTTCAAAAAGCATTCCTAATAATTTAAATATCCAAATAGTCTTATAAATGAATAATTGTTATGTTTATTGCAAACCTTGGGCAAATACCTATGGCAGGGCTTTGTGCATCAGGCCTTGGCAATAATATCATATCGACGAGACTACCACTTAACACCAGCATTTAAATATGTAGCATCAGAGCAATTTTAGCGGGTGTGAAATTGATTATCATTGACTAATATAAGTAGAAGATTAAATGATATTTAGATGCTGTCAGGTATATTAAAATAATTATACCGAAGAGTAAAAATACAGATGAGAATATAACTAGTAGAATTACATAGCTAAATAAATAAGTAACATAGAAGTATTATGCAAAAAAGGTAATAGTGAACTTCCAGGCAATTTTTCATATCAACTATGATAAGAATGATTTAGATAATTATATTAGAGTGGTAAGGGATGCATTAATTGAAGATAAAGTATTCAAAATTTAACTTCGATGATTTAGCAATGTAAAGCAAAAGGAGAAAAAAAAAGCACCAATAAATAGGATAGCTGAAATGAATGTAAAGGATTCAAAAGGACAAGGAGTAGAACAAAGAAAATATAAATGTAATTGGGCAAAATAAATTGCGCCAAATAGTTTAGGAAGATTTACATACCTAAAATTCAATTCCTATGTATTTACATAACTAACAACCTTGCATATGCACCAAAAGGTGTCTTTCACTTTTAAAATTTAAAATGGTGGTTTTTTTTTAATATGATATAAAAAAATTTCGAGTGTATAAATGTAAAAAAGTAAATTTTAAGTGTTAGATATGTAAATACAACCGAATTAGGAAGTATGTATGTAAATGCCCATAGTTTTAACAGGTCACGCTCACAGAATATTAAAAAGTAATGGAAAGCAAATATTTATAAAGTCAAGATTTGGAATAAGACTGATAAAAATCATAATGAGGAAGAGATCAAAAACTTCCAAAATTACAGAAAAAAATGAGTGAAGTGCCAAAATAGTCCCTTGACTATTTATATGGAGTCATTTTAGTCCCAAAATTTAAAAAAGTGCTAAATTATTAGTCTCCAGGCTGTTTTAAATTGGGGTAAAATAATTCTCACTAGGATTATTTCAACCGATATTAAAAGAGTGGGGACTAAATTGAAACATTTATAAACTATGGGACTAAAATGACCCAATGCAAAATGTCAGTGGCCCGTTTTGACACATATATGTATATATAGAGAGAGAGAGAGTTAACATTTCAGTGGAACCTAAGGGGCAAATAGAAGTATGTAATTAAGCCTTTACAGTTTTCCTTCTTTGGGGAAAAAGTTTTCCAAAATGACTAACGATACTGGAATGTAAAGCTGCTTGTAATACACATGCCTAAATGGTAATTAAAAAAAACTAGCACAAAAGGCAGTTATAAAGAGAAGTATAAATTGCTGAAAAATCAATGTAAGTTTACTCACACTAGAGCTGAAAGTGACACTAATTTTTTCGATAACATCAACAAATATTTCATCCCTCTGCCGCCCACCAGGCTCATTGGAGACAACAGATTTCGTAACAGCTGTTCCTGGCATCCGTTTAGAGCTTTGCTGCATTAATGCATGATGCATCAGTTAATTTGATCGACAGAAGAACAAAATTATAATTAGGAAGATTTATATGCAAAACATTCAATTCCTATGTATTTACATATATAACACCTACACTTCAATTTTACATACATGCCACTTTACCCATGCATGAAAAAATGCATTTCACTGTTCAAAAGTTAAAATGATGGTATTTTTTATGTGATATGAAATATTTAGGTGATACAAATGTAAAAAGTAAAGTTTAGGTGTTAAATATGAAAACAAATAGGAGTTGAGTGGTATGTATGTAAAAGCCCCTTAAAATTAATCCAAATGCACTACTTAAATGAGATTAAGGTGTTCGATTAGAAACATAACAAAATTCCACAAATTTTTCCATCACTATATATCATAACATATGGCGTAACACATGGTTTATACCATAAACATTGCTGCCGGGCCAAGAGGTGGCATTCGAGAAGAATCAACCACAATTGGTTCATTAAATACATAAGACTTTAGAACCTCTGTAGATGTCGTTTGTGGATAGCCAAAGTCCTGCAAATAAAATATACAACTCATTTAAAAGATTACTAAAGCAATGATATTAAGAGCTAACATGCTAAGAAACTCCTACAAATCAATATATTTATCATAGAATACTCGCTATCATTGTTAACAACATTATTAACAAATAAGATACTTACGATGATTTCATCAAGTAATTCATATACAAGAACAAAGTTTTTGCGTAACGAATCTTCATTAAGAACCCCAAGGTAATCTTTAATTATGCGTGCTATCCTTTGTAGAAGCTCCAAAACAAGAGATGGTGAAACATTTGCTCTCGTAGTGGCAACAAACATCAATCCTGCTACCTTTGCGTGAATGTAATTAACTCCATCCACATTCTGTAAAACCAAATGAAATAAGTAACTTGAATTGAATGATAAAAAATTAAAGCAAGCAACTAAGGGCTTGTTTGTGGTCAATTTCTAAAAACATGTTCATTTAATGTGATTTTAAAATATTTTTATTTCTAAAAACAAATAAACATATTTTTGAAAACTGAGTGTTTTTAAAAATAATCACATCTTAATCAAATATTTCAAAAATGTTTATTTCAAATCAAAACAAGCAAAATAAAATAAAATTAAAAATTAGACATTAAAAAATAAAAAATGATCCCAAATGGCCCCTAAGAATATCAGTAAGTGAACCACATTGATGATTAAGCAAAATTAAGGCAACTGAAATTATATCAACAAGATTCAGAAAATGCAGTATAACAAGCATCCAGAAATCTAATATTCCTAAAACATAAATTTCACAATTTCATAAAATGAAGCAAAGCAAGCAACATGGTGCAGCAACATATGCCTGCGCATAATTTAATCTCACAAAAATCACACAGTTCATCTGAAATCACAAGCTTATCATATAATTCAGGTAAAGGATCACATGTCCACATGGGTTGTCGCAGAAACAGTCAGCATGAAACCAATTGGATAATTAACATTTAGTCGAAGACATATGGAGCTCTATTATAAAAGTATCATTAGGTGAAGAGCTGATGCAAATCTCAAATTTTATAAAAAACAAAAAAAAAAAAAAACAGGATGAAGCATTAAAGAAAACAAATTCAAATTTGAGTGTTGATGCAACTTCAGTTGATTTTATTTAATTAGTTTTTTTCTTCTGTTTTTAGGCATTTCAATTAGAATCATCCCTATAATGTTCCCTATGAGTTGTATTCTCTGCTTTCCTTAATTCCTTCCATTTGTTCATGCGGGCTAAAAAACTTTGTGCTCTGGCTTCTACTAAGAAATGATTTTTTTATTTATTTCTTTGTATAGTTTCCAATCAAATTTTCAAAAAAAAAATTATATATGAGATACCCAAGATTTTTCCCTCCATAGTTAATTACTTCTTCCAATAGCGATGGAAAATTTTCTATTAAGGCTAGTCATTGAGATAATAGATGTTTAGCATATAATAGCATCAATTTGTTTTATATATTAAAAAATTTATCACATTTAGCTTAGAGCAAATGAAGAATGAGATAATAATGAAACAGATCAAGATCTCATGATTTTATCATTTTGAGTGATCTACTTAATAGATGTTTAGCATATAATAGCATCAATTTGTTTTATATATTAAAAATTTATCACATTTAGCTTAGAGCAAATGATGAATGAGATAGTAATAAAACAGATCAAGATCTCATGATTTTATCATTTTGAGTGATTTACTTAGTTAGAGGAGATAGACAACCTAACCTAACAGAAGGGTCTTTGTCCACAACCATTGGTTAATTCGTTCAAGGGCATTCTATAAACCTGGAATGGATTTTTGTCAAATACGATAAATTTAAAATAATTAATTAACACAGAGCTTTTTGTCCCACCCTGCATAATTCAAAACTCAAGAAGAAAAGTCATTAAATAACATATGGGCTATAGTTATGATTGTAATATAACATTGTTTGCAGTGAATCACCCAATCATAGAGATTTGATCATATTTACTACTTTTGTGGTCACATCACAACAAAAAAACGCAAGCAAAGAGCACGAACGACCCACATTCTAACTAGTATGTGCTAATTTGAGAATGATAATAAAAATACACTTAATATGATATTAACACTTTACAAAATTAAATTATTCTTAACTTTGTCACCCTAACAACTTGCTATGGATGATGGATGAATTTTGCTCTTAAATTTGCAATGATAAATTTCATTAAGAAATTTTAAATTTTGCAATATTTTTTTATATTTATTCTATTAGAATTTCAGGTCATTTTAAAGATAGAAATCCCTCCAATTGAGATTCTCCATGACAACTTGTTGTGGAAGATAGATGAATTTTGCTCTTAAATTACCACTTAAACTTAAAAGGAAGAATTTATAAGATATTGTTAAGATTCGCAATGTTTTATAGTGCAGAATGTTGGTCTGTAAAAGAGAAGAATAAAACTAAGTGTTATTGAGATGAGAATGCTTGGGTGGATGAGTGGCTTTAAACTTAGAGACAAAATGTGAAACGAATATATCTATGAAAGGGTTGGTGTAGCTCCAGTAGCAGCAAGATTAGAGGGAGTCGTCTTACATGGTTTGGTCACATTAAATGTCGACCATCTAATGATCCTGTTAGAAGAGAAGATGTTTTAGATTTAACTTTTGGAAATGTAAAGATAGACCTAAAAAGAGGTAGGCATGTTGTATAAAACATGGTTTTAATCTATTAGAATTAAATAAAAATATTACACTCAATAGAACACAATGGGGAAAAAGAACTCGTGTAGCCAAGCCACTTAGTGGGATAAAAATTTTCTTATTGTTGTTGTCGTTGTCACTATTTGCTCAATCCTTTCATCATATTTATACTTCAAGAAATATAAATAGCTTAGAAAATACATAAAATATAAGAATTTTGACATAGTAATAAAAATAAGCAATCAAAAAATAATTAAGTTATCATTAATTGAGCATTTCAGCTTTCTCTAAGTGAACTACTTGTTGAACAATAATGGGGTATATTGACAAATGTAAATAAATAAGTGGATAAATGTTCAAGCTTGTTTATTTATATGTTAAGTTTATAATATTATTCAAACTTACTTAATTATCTAAATAAACGAATATAAACAAGTCTTATTGAATGAGTATTGATTTGTTGATCGAGTGTACTAGTTCACTTAAAAACCTACTCCCAAAAGTGCTAGCACGTAAAGATTCACAGAATATGCTACATGAGGCACAACAATTATGCCTAGATCGATGAGAATAAAACGAACAATTTTTATAGTAATTTTTTTTTTGCTTGGACATAACTAATTAATTAAATATCAAGGTTGTAATAATCAAAAACACTATATATGTGCTTTGAGATGAAAAAATGGCAATCCGAGTGTCAAATTTTACTCATAGTTTTCTCCATTTTTAGGGATTTTAATTTTAGTTTTCCTTTCTTAAGTGTACCTTAGGGTGTTTGTGATATGTACTTTACACTTCGTTTTTTTAACTCAATCCCTTAATCAAATCTAGTTGCTTGCATTGTTTGGATGTTCAGTTTGATTCTCTTGAATTTCAAGAACTTGTGGCACGCATGATTTAATTCCTTGGACCATAACTTACATGATTTCGAACAAAGTAACTTCTTACTATATATTTTCTGATCTATAATTTATGTGATTTTATGTTGTTTCCGCCATGATCTGATCCGGAGCTTCCAATTTCCAAGACGGGAACAAATCGTTAGACTATGAACAAAAAAAATTACAAAAATATAACAATTAATCATCTAACAATAAATGAAAAAGCCACTACATAAAAAAAAATCAAATTAAATAGTTAAATTTATCTTATTTTAGGTTGTCCATGTCTTCTATGAACACATCCTTCTCTAATTCTCATCTTTATACAAAAGTTTAGATATGAAAATAGGTTAATGTAAAAAATAGTAAGCTACCCATAGCCTTGAGCTGTCAAAAAGACTCATCGTTGCGAACAGCTCGTGTTTAGTTTGCTAAATAACTTGTGTTTGATTCATTTATTAAACAAACGAATTGAACACAAACAAAATGTTTTAGTCGACTTATAAGCAAGTCGAACACAAGTAAATTTTTGTTTAATCGTGTTCAGGTCATTTTGGCTTGAATTAATTAAATAATAAATAAATAAATAAATAATCTATAAAATTTAAAATATTGGAATCTTTGATATGATATCAATTAAAATATTGGTGTTATATATCTAAATACATAACAGCTAGGTGGTATGTATGTAAATGCCCGTGTGTTCAGAAATGTAAATACTTAAGAAATGGGTGACATGTATGTAAATGCCCGAAAAAACCCCACCTGGGCCACCTTATCACCTCTGCCTGCTTTTTTAGAAGTAAGATTTGTAAATATATAAGAAATGTGTACGTAAATGCCTACATTGGTGCTAGTCAAAGATAAAAAAACAATATGTATGGTAGTGAATATTTATACTTCTAAATTACAGTAACATAACAGATAAGAAAATAATATGTATGTTAGTCGATCAAAGATAAATTAATGTAGGAAAAATAAGATATGATCATTCAATAAATTTCATAACATTTAACTATATTACACTATATCATTTTCTTATTTATAACATTTTATCTATATAATCATCATAGAAGCACCGTCAAGCATAATCAAACACCAGCCCTGCCCGATACTGTCGGCGCTTAAAAAGGAAAGGGGGGGAAAGAGAGTTTTGGATGTTTGGGGGTCGCCCATAAGAAGTTGTCGGTCGCCGGAATCGAAATCCCGTTGCCCGCTTGGGAAGGACTTTTTAATTTACATATATATATATATATA